GGTCTACTTAGAGGCAGCTGGGGTGAGGTGGACAGTGTGGGGTGGGGGTAAGAGCGCAGAGTGACCGCTGAGGAGGTATGGCTGTGTGCATAGCAGCTCTTAGGCATCTGCAGGCAGCTTCAGATCCCCACCTGCATGAGGTCTCTTGAACAGAAGCACAAAAGAACCTAGATGGCAGGGAGGGAAGGAGAGGGGCAGGTGGGAACTTGTCACAGGTGCCTAACAACCATCCCTGGGGCTGGCACTACTGCCTTCAGTGCACCCAAGAAGCCTGCAGCTCTGTGAGGCCAAGTAACTGTGGGGAATCCCGTCACCATTTCTGTTGAATGCATGTGTCAATCTCCAACTGTAAAAATGGATTTTACTGGAACTTGGTGGCAAAGATAATGAAATACTGTGACATCCCATCAGGAAGGTGCAGGGTGTTTTCCAGAACACTCTCTTATACCCTCAGAAAAGCTCTGGGAGACAGGAGACAGATTCTCAGATTCCTATTTCATTGCTCCTCCCTCCTTCTGAATCTGTGCTCTGGGCCAAATGGGTTTCTGGCATCTGGACAGACATAGGGACTGAAAGGCCTGCCTCCTCTCTCAGTGTGCCAGTTCCTTCTTTGGGAGGATGATTTATCTCAAAATGAAGCAACCAGAGCGCCTATTGAGTGCAGTGAAGCACTCTGTACTCTCCCTAGATCCATCTCTCTCACCTTGAGGCTTCTACCTGAGCCTAGCTTCCTGATGTTTTGCCATACTGAAGTCCTGGCCTCTGGCCCAATCTGCTCTGGAGCCCAGGCTGCCCTCTGACTCCTCTACCTGGGTTCAAGGAGATCTTCAGCACTCTCTTGAACCGTTCTATTTATCCTCCTGTCCTGTGTTGATAGGGTGGGTGCCCTCAGCTGCATGAGGGGTCAGTCCATCTTTAATGAGTTCTAAATATCATGAAGTGCTGAGTAAATTCTAATGACACAATTGTTGAGAAGAATCTGATCGAGAAACCCTGGTTGTCTCTTCCGACATCTTTATTTTGTTCCAAGAACATTAATTTAAAAAGCTCTCTGGCCTATTGCCATGTTAACTTCCCCTATGAAAGAACATAATTGGCTCAGGGTAAGGAAGGAAGAACTATTTAAATAAAACAGGGAGATTTTTCTTAATGGGTTAAAAAAAAAAAACCTGGATATTTTCAAATACCACTTTGAAAAAGTAAGGACAAGTGAATTATGTTATGCACTGATCTGGTCCAGGGCTGAATCTACTGTTTTGTGAGTCTTGTCTTCTGTTTTCTCTGAAATAGATTCAATAGTATTTAAGATTCAATAATTTTCTATCTCTAAGAAACTCGACTTATCAGATAGCATGCCAAATCCTCCCATATTCTGCAAAAGAAATAAGATTCTAGTCACATCAAATGAATATGAAGTATTTGACCCTTCAAGAGGAAGGTTGATGCTTACAGGATGCACACATTATACAATAGGGAGGTGATCATGGTGTGAGGGGTGGGGATCAGGGTGCACAATCAGAGGCGCCCGTTCCTTTCCCAGTAGACCGAGACATCTCCCCACTGAGCCACCTATTCTCATAAGTATGGCCAACCTTAAGTTCCCAACTAGTTGTAGGTCATATCAGAGTGATGATATTTTTACAGAAATTTGTCCCTGAGCCCGAAACTCCATGGTCACATCATGAGCAGTGCCCAGAAACCCCCATGGAGGAAAATTCAGCAGGAAATGGGGCAACTGGCCTTTCAACCATGACACTGCCTGGGCTCTGCTGGAAAAAGATAAAAGTCCCTAATCCCTAGCGCTAAGCTCAAGGTGACCGGCAGGTGACCAGTTGAGCAGGCCTTCCTTCTAAGATAGGATCAAGATGAGAAACAATGAATGTGACATGGGGGTGGGGGGTAGCTGCTTCTCCTCCCCAGCTATCAGAGCCTGCCCTGCAGCATCCAACTTGGGAGAACCCCTCAAATGTCCTTGAGCTACACCATATTTTAGTCAAGGCCAACATCTAGGGAGCCTAAGAGGACAATTAGCCCTGGGACAAAACAATGCTCCAATATGCTGAAAAGGGAAACCAAAATATGAAAACATAAAAAAGAGCTCTGGGAACTTTCTCCCTGGGTCAGGGTCACCGACCAACTGGAGAACCTTGGTTAGAATCAAAGAATATATGAGATGAAGGAGATGGACCATTCTGCAGGTTAGAAATCATCTATGCCATTTGAAATATTTTGCTTAATAAAGACGCTGACTGGCACTTGCTAGAAAAGCAGCAAAGTGAGCCACGAGGATCTATAATCTGATTAAGACGCCCTTGACATGTCTCATGTGATGACATGCCACGAATGTGTTAGCTGGCTGTTTGAAGTGTATAGGCCTCATCCCCAGCATTACACACAAAAGCAGACATTTAATTATCTCTGAGGATCCTCAAGTGGCTTGCAGGTCATAAATTTCCAGGTTATGGGATGGGTTCTGTTTGATTTTGTGCACTAGGTGGACTATAATTGTCTTTAGCCAAATGAGTTATAGCCCAAACATGTCGGTTATTCATTATTCCCTTGCCCCAGCACCACCATTAAACAATCAAACACAGCATTGTTCCACAGTGAGGCCCAAACCACTAAATTTCACATAGATTGTGCAAATTGCTTTTTTCTTACTCCTTTAACCCTTTGTGAAAAGCTGAGGCTCACCATTCCTTTCTAACAAAAATCAAAGCCTAACATTCCTCGTCTGTTGACAGTGCCATTGTTAATACATGAAACCCGTTACAGATAAACATTTACATGTATATGGTACTGTATTTGTTATAGTAACTGTTGTGGGGAAAAAATGTGCTTGGCTAAATAAAAAGAATATATGGGATAAAATTGGAATGAAAATGATACCACAGGAAATTATTCTATATCAACCACAAAACAGGCTCTTTCAGGACTGAAGAGGAAAATTATTTATGACTGTGTTACTGTGCTCAGTGATATTATAAATCTATGAATCCTACTCTTTCTAGATCACTGAGAGGGCCAATGCAGTCATGGAACTTATAGGAAGTACCCAATCCTTTGGCTTCCAAGGACTGGCCACGTCGATGTATATGCATTAAACTTTTGATTTGCGGTTCCTGGCTCATCTCTGTCACACATTCCCTGCCCTGGTATTCTTTCTCTACTCTTCTCCCCAAGTCCACCTCCCACAGGCTTTTCCCAGAAACACACCAGAGTCATTATTGCACTGAGATTTCTCATATCTGTTAAGACCAGGAGTTAACAGATACAAGGCTTCTACCATTTGGTTACCAGTCTATCAAATTAACAGGAAAGCAATTAAAAAAAAAAAAGCTACTATTGTAGATAATCCACTTAAGACCCCAAAAAGCCTTTTGCAAGCTTCATTTAAAAAGCTACTTAAGATTTTTTATTAAAAAGCAAGAGAAAATGGACAAATATGATAGACAAGTCATATACTGCAAGAGGCTCAATCTTCCTCATGTGCATGAAATGTAAATTAAAACCTGTACTATTTGACACTATTCTGATAGGCAAAAATGGAAGTCCCACATTGGCCTGGAGCAACTTTGCGATTTGGTATGCAGCATTCAGCTAGTAGTGGATTAGCCTTGCCCCTTTGGAGAAGATTTGTCACCTGAGGATGCCCCTACTTTCCCAAGGGACAGGACCCTCAGCCCCTACCCCTGGGGTTCTGAAGCTGTTGGTCTGAGTAAGCCAAAATATCTGGAATTTAAAAATCTCTGCAGAATATTCTGAGGGGCATCCAAAGTTGGTAATCACAGCTCAAGAGCCTCATCACTCAAATGAGTACCAAGGGTTAGCAGCATCAACTTCACCTAGGAACTTGTTAGCAACAGACTTGTGGCCCACCCATCTTACTGAATGAGAATCACATCCTCAGCCCCAACTGTTTTTATTTCTTAGGAAAAATTACCATTAGAAACTGAACAGATTATATCAAGGGAGCAAGGTCCCACAGGCTGCAGGAACCTGCTTTAGCATCTTTTACACCCTGGAAGCAAACGTGGCAAGGAGTCAAGCAGAAGCATGACCCTGCATCCAGTCACCTTCTGTGTGAATCTCATGGGTGGCACAGGCTGGGTGCACCATGTGTTTGAGTTTTTAGTGAACTACCCACCTTCCTAGGGTTTCTTTCACTTTGGGGTACAGAACAAGGGAGCAACCAGGCTCTGTTTCCTCCCGGCCATTCCTCAATCTCAGAGGCAAAGTGGTAGAGGCTGGGACTGAGTGACACAGCGAAGGGCTAAAGCCCAGGAGCTCCCCTGAAACATCTGGGCCATAGCTAATGCAAGGAAACATCAAAGGACCCACAGGGATCCTGTTTCTCTACCGAGTGGTCTATGTGAGACTTGGCACAGAGCCACAGCCAACAGAGGCTCCCACCCATCAGCTCCAGGAGCAGGCAGCAGGCTCAGACCAAAGGGGAAAATCAGTTCCTTTGATGTCCTAAATCCTGTTTGGTGGGGAAAGGGAAAAAACTGATCTGCCTAGGCTAACATTATATATTGTAAGCATCCTAATGACCATCAAATCACTTGCTACCCTGATTTTCACCTTTGACATGCAGGTGGGCTGTGGCAAACCCCTGAGGGAACAAGCTTCTAACCCAACAGGAAAGTGGTCCTGGGTCCCTCTGGCAAAGAAGGCACTCACCCCAATACATGAGAAACATTTAAAGACCTTGCAGACCTTCCCGGACAAAGTATGACTTGTGGGAGGCCTGGCCACAAACAGCAAGCAAACTGGTCAGGTGCAGCAGAGCCCCCTCCTCTATAGAGACCAACACTGGTAGTGAACTTGAAACCTTTCAGTGGGTTTTTTGTTGTTGTTGAGAGCTACAGGTGGGCACTGAGACAGCTACTGAGGATTCATGGAAGCTGCCTCTGGATCTCTGCCCTTCAGGGTTATACAGCATATAAAGGAAGATCCTTCCAGGGTTGAGACCCTCACCCCTCCTCAAATGCACTCACGAGATTTGCGGTTGGCCCGAGATCGCTTCCTCTCCCTTGGCACCACTCGCTGACTGGGCACTTGGGTGGCCGACTTGACAATGCGGTCCATGATCTCATCTGCAGCATCGTCTGTGATGGTATGTGAGTCATCAGTTCCCATAGCCCATGAATTAGTGGATCCTGAAAAATTAACCAGAGTGCAATATATTCAAAGAGAAAGAAAACACAAAAGACAAATCATTTGCTTCTTTGAGTTCCTGACATCAATGATGGATCTCAGCAAAGCCAGAGTCAGAGCCTCAGAGTGACATATTCAGGGTGCTTAGCTGGACCCACTTGTGACTAATACCCTCCAGGCTCTGCCCAAACTTGTGCTAGGGCATTTATTTCATATTCTTTTCATACCCCATAATGACTATGTTCTTGTCTTTGTTAAGTCTCTCTACCCCTGCCAAGCCCTGTGATCGCCTAAGGGCAGATGATCCATGCTGTACCCCACTATGTACATCACTGATACCCAGCAATGTACAGAGAGGCCCACCAAGAGATTTACTAAGTTACCTTTCTATGAGTGGTTGTATACCTAGTAAATGTGAACTAACCCTACCTTCTCATATATTAAGTAGAAAACAAGGAATTTTTAATACACAGTTTGTCTTTTAATTACTTAGCTTTTCAAAATTGTAATAGGATTGCCCTCTTCAATCAGTAATGTGGATAGTGACTTAATCTTTTCCTTTGGAGAATAAAAAATCACCTGCTCCTTGACCAGAAAGATGTATTTATGAGTAACTATATATTCAAACAGGCCAAGTCTAGTGTCAAGGTATCTGCCTAAGCAAGCAAAAAGCACCACCTAAACATGGGTTCCCAAGTAATGGCAAATAATTGGAAATCAATGCGAATTTATATGTCCAGAACTTTGCCTTTGTGATAATTTCCTTATGAAATCTCTTCTATGATGGTGAATGTTTCTACAGGAGGAAAAATATACAACAGGTTCAAAATCATGTATTTCTACTATCTACACTTTATCTTGTAATAAAATAATTTACAATGTACAATTTCAAAAGTCTGTAGTTAGAGTTCTCAAACTCATTGCCTATGGAACACAGGTAATCCCAGGCTGAAGCCAAAGAACAGTCAGCTTTTTCCAATGGGAGGGGGAGGGGGCGGGGGGAAGAGGAGAGGGGGTTGGTAAATGTTTAAAATGGTAAAATTTTAAAAATTTAATGTTAATGTATGTTAATAAGCATATGTTTAAAACACTTTAGTTTGTCTTCCCTACTGATGTTTTAAAAACTTTTGGGGCTTGGAACCACCTGACTGGAAATGAATGAAGAAAACAAATTGATGGATCGAATTGAAAACAGTGGAGCACAGTTCAGTGCATTGTGATTTTCATGGACACACGTGTTTGAAATTTTACTGCAAATATGAAATATGCTATAATGTACTCATAACTTCTGCCAGTAAAATTCATGTGACTGAACATGTAAATAATTCACACTTTGTAAGATCAGTGCCAGAACTCCAGGTGTTCTGTCTCCTGCATGGGTGAGCCCTGCAGCTACAGGACAATGATGTTTTCAAATGATGAGGTTTTTTTTTTTTTTTTTCTTCTTTTTTGATACTATTGATCAAGTTCTTGAAGTTTATTTTGCTTAGCTTTTTAGTGGGAGTGCATCCACAGCCCTGGAATATGCAGAGCCAACTCTAGTTTCCCTGCTCATTCCTAAGGGAACTTGGTCTATTTGCTCCTATCAGAATGCCATTTTTTTTTCAGCATTAATAATGTTTTTAAAAACAGACTCTTCCCAGAAGTGAATTTTTGAAATTGCTGCCAAGTTTTTCCACATTCTTAGGATGGTTTAAGTGTTGTAACTGCAGGTGGCAGGACTCACGATGGCACAGCTTTCAGACCAGGACTGTAGAGCCTGTGTGACAATGGCCCTCCTTGAAGTAGAGCAATCAAATAGCACAACTGTTTTGCCTAGCAATTTCCTATTTTCCCTTTTGCCTATTGATTTATAATTCTGAGTCTTATCTTGAAATGTCAAACTACCCTTCCAAAAATATACACAAAGCTCAATCAATTATGTTTATTATCCATAAGACATTTTCAGAGCACTGGGCCAGAAATGAAGGCACCGTCTAATTTTCCCTCTGAGAATTACCAATGTTTCCCATCTCCATTTTACACATCCCCAGGGATCTGCTTCCAATGCAATTGTCAGAGAGGATCAAAAGGAACATCTTGCCATGGGTCCAGAATTGTCAAACCTCAGTTTTGTGATGACTTCATTCCCTCCTGCGACCTCATTCCTGTTTTTACTTTTAATCTCCTCTCTGCTTGGTTATTGTCCTCACTGCCTGATCTCCAGTTGTTCTCATTCTTTCTGGCCATGGATGTTTTTCTCTAGGTAGAAACTTGGTACCCACAGGTAGCCATCAGAGGAATACTGCCCACACTTCTTCCCATACCCTGGGAGCCAATGTGTCTCATCTCAGTTGTCCAAGTGTTGGCAAGTCATTTATGTATACTGAGATGTCATGGAGGGGATAGAACATTCTAGACTATAATAGCATAATACCATTTCACTTTGGCTTCATTTTTAAAGATATGGAAATTATAGCTTGAAAGAAAAATACTGTTTTTTTTTCCTTTTAGAAATCTAAACAGTATACAAGAAATTATACCAAAGTAGATATTAATATTATTGTAATATAAAAAATGTTTGCCTTCATCACTGAAAGACAATTTCCCTGGAGATAGACTGCTAGGTTATAAGCTTTTTCTTCTGGCAGTTTAAAAATGTTTTTTTCCCTGGGTTTTTTTTTTTTGAAGAGTGAGCCATACTTCCTGATCCTGGTCCTTGGAAGGGAATGCATCTTTCCTGTGTTATAAAGATTTTATCTTTCTTTGTTTTTTGGCAGTTTGCCTATGACATGGCTCTATTTATTCTGCTTGGACTTGCTAAGTTTCTTAAATATTTGAGTTAACACCTATCATCAATTGGAGTTCTTAGCTATTATTTTTAATATATATATTTTTTAGTTGTAGTTGGACACAATACCTTTTCTTTATTATGGTTTATTTTTATGGGGTGCTGAGGATTGAACCCAGGGCCTTGCACATGCTAGTCGAGTGCTCTTCCGCTGAGCCATAACCCCAGCCCTCAATTATTATCAAACATTTCTTCTTATCCCTTGTCTCCTCTGGTACTCCAATGACACATTAGATATTTAAGTGTGTCCCAGACATCTCACACTTTGTTCTTCTTTCTTACCATGCTTCAATTTGTACACTTTCTATTATCCGTCTCTTCTTGCTGGAAACTGCTATTGAACCTATCCACTAGGTCCTTATTTCAGATATTTTATAGTTTCAGTGATTGAGATCAATGTTACTTTTCTCTAGAGTCTCCTCCTTTTCTTCTGTTAATAGATGTGACAAGGTCCTAAGCTAGCTTGAGGCTAAATGGCAGTTTTAGCTAAGAAATTAGTCCACCTTTCTCTCTAGGTATCTTGAGGATGAGAGCTGTGTGCTTGCTCTGCCATGAGTGTTATCCCCAGTGCTTGGAAACGGCAGGTCGCTGGCAGCCTTTCTGGCCCAGGGCCCCCACCCACTCCCTGCCCGCTCAGTGATACACTTAGCCAATGTCTTATGGAGTAAATCCCCTGTACTCGGTGCTCCTCAATTCTAATCTCTATGCCAGCTCCACCTGGCTAGTATGAGTTCTACTGTTTTATCTTTGCTGTTAGAGTCATTCCACCCATGGTGAGCCTGGTTCTTAGCCTGTGCCCAAATTCAGCAAATGCTCCCAGAGGAGTAATCTCAGCTTGTCCAAAATTCTGCTTTCTCAAGTCTTCTTTCATCACATAGTTCCACAGTGTCTTTTAAAAGAGGGCTTTCTAACTTGTTATGTTTTTTTTTTTTAAATTCTAGCCATGGTAGCAGGAGTGGTGGCTTGCCACTCCTTACTGCATGCTGCCTGGAAGCAGAAGTCTCTTTAGAGAGGAGTGAATGAGAAGACAAACTAAACAGGCTCCCTCTCTAAGCCCTTTCACCTGTCAGCGAAAATGAACCCATACTGAAGAAATCCGGCACTAGTTTTTCTCTTGGTTTCTTCTGGTTGGGAAGAGACATCAACAGCCTATTTATGTTCTATTACCTGACTCCTCCTCCCAGGATGGACTCCATTGCACCATTCTGGCATCCACCAAGGTACAGAGGCTCAAGGCTCTGGCCTGATGGCTGGGGTCACATGGTGCCTACACTAATGACTTCCTGCACCTTCCTGCTGGCCCCACTGAGCCCAGGGCACTAAGCCTGTGAAAGCTGCCAGGCACAGACTCACCCAGGATGTGTGAGGCCTTTGGGTACCACAGGGAGCAAGTGAATCCCCTCGCCTCAACAACTTACGCATTCTGTAGACCCACATAAGTTTATTTTTATTTTGTGATTCTTCCAGATTGACAGTTTCTACTGCTCAGCATTTAATGATAGTATTTTCTTCACTTTCTGACTTGCCCTACTTTTTCTTCTTTGTTTCTACATGGGCGCTCTCTGTCCTATCTTAGAATGGAGGCCTTGTCTCAAACCAGACATCAGAATGCATGATGTCATGCTCAAGGCTGTGTTCTCCTGAGCTGCATCTTTCTGAAGTTGGTCACTATAGTCTGCATTTTCATTGCCAAAATATGTTAATTTATTTTCTTCTCCTAATTCCACATCTTAAAACTACTCAGTAGTCAAAGAATTTGGACAGATCAAATTTCGAGGACCCTAATCTTTGATTGTTTGATGTAATATATATGAAAATATTGAGGGTACAGCTTAGGATCAAGGTTGTAGTAAGAGATGTGACTTTTCTACTGTCACCTGTGTCTCGGTGCAACACTGAGGCAAAGATGGATGGAGGCTACCTTCCTTCTAGCATATTCAGCTAAACATGAAAGTAAAGGTCCTATTACAGGGTAAAGACCAAAGTCCCACATGAAGGAAGAAAGGGGAATTAGAATCTACTGTATTCACATGAAGTAAACAAACCAACCAGTAACTTTGTTAAAAATCCTGAAGTACAAATCCACAAAACTCTGAAGGTTCTAGAACACAACCTGTGCACATCTTTCAAGATTCTCTCTGGAGGATTTGTGGCTCTCTGGTTCACAGGAAACCTCAAAAAGCCATATGAATTATGTGATGGGAACACACCTTCTCTGAGAAAACTAGCAGCAGCATTTACGTTTTCCTTTCCTGTTGAAGTTATTGCTGCTATAATTACTTTTACATTTTTAAAAAAGTTGACAACAGCAAGACTCTAGAAAGCATGATCAGTGAGTAAATCAACTGGAAGTCACTGGTGAACCTTCTTGGGGGCTCTTAGAGCATGGCCCTCTGGATTCTAGCTGCTTCTTCCTGTACTCCTGGAGGCCTGAAGGCTTATCAGAGTCTTAGAAGATGTTTGGTAGGCACTGCATGCACGACCAAGTTTCTGTAATAAGCTAGCCCTCAGCCCAGCTTACCTGGCATATTCAGTTGTATTTATTGTACCAGCATAATTATTACCAGCATCCTCTTTTAAACTCCAAAGCATTCTGTTCAGACAAAACTCTATGGTTTCTTCTAGCCATGTGCATAGCATGTGCTAAGTAAACACCGAGACAGACCATCTCCAGCAGTTAATTCCCTTTAAAGCTTATCCTCTTTAGGAAGCCTAAACAGGGACCTCAGGAGTGCATTGAAGAGATGGGGTTTGGACAGGGCCTGCAAATAGTGTCTGAAGGTGAACAGAAACTGGAGCAGCCAGACTGAAGGGCATTCCAAGCTGAGAGAACAGCATGAACAACAGGGGACACTCAGAGATATGTAGGGTATTTAGAGAAGGGCAGAGCCAACAACATGGAAATGAATGAAAGCCAAATTTGGAAAATAAGCCCAGATTACAGGGGCCTCATAGGTCAGTGTATGTGGTATGGATTTTAACCTATAGCAGAGAATTTAGGAGGACTAACATGATATCAGATTAATCCAGAGAAGCATGAATGCTTTTTCTTTTTTTGGTACCAGGGATTGAACTCAAGGGCACTCGACCACTGAGTGACATCCCCAGCCCTATTTTGTATTTTAGTTAGAGATAGTGTCTCACTGAGTTGTGCTTAGTGCCTCGCCATTGCTGAGGCTGGCTTTGAGCTCATGATCGTCCTGCCCTAGCTTCCCAGGCTCCTAGGATTATAGGCAAGTGCCACTGCACACAGATCCTTAATTCTTAAAATTAAAAAAAAAAAAAAAAAATCTCAGTTATAATTAAAATCTGGAAATGCCAAAGTCTTTATCATCTTGAACTTTTAGTTTTGTCCGTTTTACTAAGGATGTAAAAAAAAGGCACAAAGGGTAGTGTTTTACACCAGGGGTTGGGAAGCTTTTTCTATAGTCACTCTTTTGGGCTGCAGAGCCTAGAGTCTGTCACAATGGCTTAACTCTGCCGTTATGGTGCAAAGCAGCCACAGACCATACACAAAACATGGCTGTGTTCTAATAAAACTTTATTTACAAAAATAGGAGGCAGACCAGATTTGGCTCTCAGGATGCAGACTGCTGAGCTCAGCTTTAGCTCATGAGGATTCACTCATAATAAATTCTGTGTTCATAAATGTGTCTCTTGGGGAGTGTTGTTTGGTTTTGAGATACAGCCATTGGAGGTGAGCGGTAAAGGAAGGTGTGTGCTTAAGTTGGTCCCAACAATTCAGGAAGGTTGATGGCCCTTTGTGGCCATACACTGGGCACAGTGATCTGTATCCTGTAGTGGAGACTTGACTCCCCAAGGTGGCCAACCCAAGACGACATGCCCCACCCACCAGGGCTCACCTCTGCTTGCCCGGCTGCGTGTGCGGATGCCCAGCACGGGGGTGGCATCCTCCATGGCAGGGGAGGTGGTTTTCAGTACGGCCTTCATGTTCTCATGTTCAGCTGCATCCTCGGCATAGCTCAGACCCTGCGGCTGGCTGGGTGGTACCGGACAACTGCCAGAGAGCTTGCCAGTCTGCAAAAACCAAAGGGGTGTTAGGACATGAGGAAGACTCCCCAGGAAGCCAACTCAAGCTTAGAAAATGTTTCATTGAGGGAAACTATCTTTTCTGGTTTTGTATGCATTCTGTAGACCCATAAGTTCCGACAGTCACTGAGGGTATCAACTAATGACAAAACATCTGTCACTGAGGTTGTCAGCTAATGACAAAACAACTGGGCCACTTAACTCCAGGGATACTGTAGACTCACTGCACTCCCGGCCTGGGAATCCTGCCATATGGGCAGAGGTGGCACTAAGCAGAGGGAGCGTGGTCACAAAGACTGAGAACTCTGCTCTGCCAGCAAATGGGACCATAGTTTTCCCTCAATTGACATCTGTCTACAAAAGATGAATTATTAGAAAAAGAAGCCACCGGCCCCAGAAGGAAGTCCACCCATACATCATCCACTGGAGTGGCTCTCTCTGGGCTCAGACTCCCCAGTAGTCGTCCACTAGGAGTGACGGAGCAACTGGAAAGAGCTAAGGAAAACAAACTGAAGCCTTGATGTGAGAACTGAAAAGTACCTTCTTAATCAAATGTACTCAGCTTTATTTTTAAACTTTAAAACTAGAATGCAGGGAAATTTCTAATATTGGTTATGATGAGAGAATTGCAAAAGTGGGATTCGATCATGGCACGTTAAGAGTTGGGGAGGGTTCTTCTGAATCTAGATCACTTCATCGAAAAGGAAAATGAGGCCCTTCATGGAAACATGGCCTGCAAAGGCCCCATGTGGGTTAGTGTCAGGGTATAGTACAGAACATGACAAGTAAATTCAAGCTGAAACAATTTGGCAACACTACTTTTGATTATGAAAAAATTTAGTTCTATCAGTACTGGGGATTGAACCCAGGGGTGCTTTATCACTGAGCTATATCCCCAGTCCTTTTTTTGAGATAGGACTCTGCTACATTGCTGAGGTTGGCCTCAAACTTGCCATTCTCCTGCCTCAGCCTCCCGGGTCACTGGGATCACAAGCATGCACCACCACACCTGGCAAGAATTTAATTATTTTAATAAGCAATTCAAACTTACAATGATTTCCTCTAAGTTTACCTGAACAAAAAGGCAGGTCATATATATTTTAAAGAGGCAATGCTAGAATACTGTGTATATACAAGGCCAAACATCTGGTGAAGAACAAAAAGTCAGATTAACATCTGCAAAGACAAGCTTCACAGTTTCCTGGCTTCCTCTTTTCAACCAGTGTCTCGGCCACAGCCAGGAGTCTGGGACACATCTGGGGCTTTGTACCATCTACATTGCTCCATCCTCATTTTCCAGGGTCAATGAGGCCCAGTTTGGTCTCTGAAGCTGAACCCAGTTTCAGGGGAAGCAGCCCCTGCTTCTGCACACACATCAACGCCACAGGGGCCAGTCAAGGAAATGGGCAAACAGCAGAGGCTGCCCAAGAGCTGGTGATATAGAGGCTCTGGTGTGGCACGTGGCCACTGCCTCACTTCCTCTTAGGATTCTTTACGTAAGTTATTCTAGAGTCTGGTTCTCATACTTGAGTTGCCAAAAAACTCACAAAGGTGGCTGAAGGTAAAATTCTTCGTTCAGTTTTCTAGCAGTAGGGAGAGATCCCCTGAACCCACCATTAGTGACAAGGCTACTGATTAGCCTGGACTCTGGGACAGATGGAAGATGGAGTCAACCCCCTCACTTCCTAGTACACAGCATGACAAGAATTCATCAGGTGGTTAGTGGTCAAATGAAAACCAACCAGAAAATGCCCATGCATGGTTTAAAGCACAAAATGGTGCTGACATCTCATGCTGATTATGTTAGGTTAGACTTTACGGCACACATGAAAGGTCAAATGTGGTATTCTTCACGTTTATAAATGGTCATACCTCAACTTCATCCTCGTCATCAGTCTACCCGACAGGACAGGACAGGACAGAAAAGATAGAAGGATTCTTAGATGGCACAGAAGTCAAAGATGAGATTATCTTAAAGTCACATTACATTAAAACAAAAAACAACAACAACAACAACAACAAAAAAAAAACTGGCCACCATAACCAGGGTACACCCTCTTGAACTGGGAGCTGGTAGGCCCTGCTCTCCTTGTCCTCATCTGGATACTTGTTCAGTAAAGACAAGCTGTTTCCAGAGAGTCTCCTGACCTTACTTTCTGCTCTGTGCCCTGCTATTTACTTCATGGCCACATTTCTCCCCACCCCCAGTACTGGGGACTGAACACAGGGATGCTTTACCACTGAGAAATATATCCCCTATCCTTTTGTATTTTTGAGAGAGGGTCCTGGCTAAATTGCTCAGACTGGCCTTGAACTGGTGACCTTCCCGCTCAGCCTCCCGAGTTGTGGGATTAAAGGCATGTACCACAGCTGACTTTGGTGGTCATATTCTACTGAGGCATCACCACCAGCTGGTCATCAGGGTGTCAGTAAGTGGACTGACCTTAATTTACCTGGCTCTGCCCATCAGCAGCTGGCCACCTCTCATCTGAAGTGTAGAAACCTTCCTGCCCAGGCCACTGGGCCTGGGAACAATGATTCTTCCATGTATAGGTCAGAAAGGACAAGCTGAACAATTTCTGGGCAGAATGGGTCATATTACTCTCTCCTCAGACACATGAAGTTTAAGCTCTGTATACAACCTCACCTGTCCCTCATGGTGGCCATTCTTAATTGACCCTGTACTTTCAATTAATTTACCAGTAGATAAACTTGACTTCAAGTGAAGGGTCACTTTTCTAGATATATATTGGGGGTAAAAAAAATCCTATTAAGTCTCTTGATTTAAATTAAGCACAACTTCAATTTTTGAGAGCTTCCACCAAGGTTATAGACCATGCCAGCAAATCAGATACAAGTTTCATGGGAACTGACTGCACTTTTGAAAGTCTCCAGTATATCACATCCTGCCCTGCCCCACCAAAGGCATTATGACAAGAGACAATGGTCCTGCTCCACTGTCTCTTTTGTCTTATGACGTTTTTAACCAGGACGACTGGCATTGTTTTCAGCAGCCAGCACATGTGCAGAATGCTACACATACAGAATCCCTAACACCAACCCTCACTCCACTTCAATACAAGAAACTATTGGGGTTGAAAGAGGCTTACTTCACCACTTATTTGGATTATGCCAGCAGTAAAAAGGGCCATAGCTGCCTAGTTTTCCCTTGCCTATGCCACCATTGGTCTAGAACAGCTTGGGATAGAAAGATAAGGAGTAAGTTTCTCACTGAGCCTTGCCTGGGGGGAACCTCTGGATCCTGAAAAAAGACCTGTTACATGCCTATGAGCAGAGAGGGCACAGGAGGGACAGCACTCCAGAGCTGACACGGGGCCGAGTCGATGAAAGCAGTCTTCAGACTTTACCCTCAGACTTATCTTAATTTAACTGCAACCATTTCCATCCTCAATTTTATTCAGCATCTATATTAAAAGTGATGAACTTCTAGCTAATGATGTTCGGGGGCCCTTGATTCTGAATCCATTGCCCAGCTTCTGACTCAGTGGTTTCAGTTGTGTGTCATTTTCTAATCATACTATGATGTACTTGGGTGTGATCTTGTCTTTCATTATGCACATCTTCCTTGGTGCCCACCGCAGCGCAGGGCATTTCTTAAACAAGCACAGGGAAAACTAGAGATTTTGTTTTGCCTTGGTGACAATACCCCAGTATTCCAGCAGATGGCAGCCTTCCCACATGAATGATGCTACTTTGACCTATAAAAACAAGGATTAGGATGGGAATGAGCACTGAAGCCCTTCCTGCTGCTGTTATAATTCAAACAAATAGGGTCGGGGATGTAGCTTGGTGGTATAGTGTTTGCCTAGCATGTGTGAGGCCCTGGGTCCAATCCCCAGAACCGCCAAAATCCACCAAACAAAAGCCCAAATAAAATGTGAGAATCCAGGCTGGTAAATCCTAGGACTTCATGGTGGAGGGCAGAGGACTCATGGTGCACCCCTTAGCCTCTCTCAACGTGACTTCCTCTTCTACAGAGGGGGATGATAGTTTCCTATAAAAGGGGAACAATGATTGTCTCTAGATTTTAATGGTAATTTAAATATGTTTAGACCAAACTCTAGAAACAATTACCTCTGTTTATAGCTGAGAAAGCCAAATATTCTCAGAGGACGGAATTTTAACAATTAGTGGGATCTGTTAAAAAACCTCAAGAATTTGGCAAGAAATGCTGATGTGTTTTCCTAATTATAAGCACGCTGGGCTGTGTCTTTTGCCCTTCAATGTGTCTCATTTCCAGAAAAATAAGTTATTCCTTTTTGAAAGTTTTAAAAATAATACTTAGGAATGAAATGTGGGCTGTATTTTTCCCAAACACATTCAGTTTGCTTCCTGAATCCTCCAGAAGGCTAAAGATTCTGCTGAACCCAGGTTTCAGAAGACAAATGATAGAGCTCATAGTCCTGGCAATTAGAACCGCCAGGGGCTATAGAAAGGGATCCTTCTGCAAAAAAGTGGCTTGGTGCTCCCTCGGGGTCCAGAAAGTTCCAAGGAAATAAGGAACTTAGGGAGAGGTAGGGGATTAAAAGGATTGATTAGTCCATGGTTCTACTTAGAACTGTCTTAAAACTACAGTAAAATTTCTTGGTTATGGAATCTGGATTTCCATGTGAAGTCACGACCTCTCAGGAATGTGGACTCTTAGACAGCAGTAACCATGTTCCCTTTGTTTTGCCTACAACATGAGCATGCCTCTGGGCAGAGAAGGCAGGCTCCTTGAAGTCTTCTGAATGAACTTCCCACCCCCAAAGAAATCTGCCTACTTTGAGTTCAGCTGAGATTTCTACCTCCCCTCCCCTGATAATGGCAATCCCTGTGACTTATTCCTGTACTCATTCCATTCCCTGTATCACTGGAGATCTTGTGTGGCTCAAACAAGCACAAGTGGGAGAAGTTCATGGGTACCAATCCAAACATCAAAACAAACCAAAAAATCCAAACACACCTTCAACAGGTCCCAAGTATGATCTGTCAGTATTAAAAGAAAATTGACTTTATTCTTCCTGAGTTTGTCCAAGAAAAAATAAATGGTAAGGAAAAGAATTCCCACATAACTTTTTCCTTTCCCCTGAAACTGGACTTACAGCTTACCAAATAATAGATGAGGTGTGCATGTTTCATGAAGAGACATAAGAAGGACCTGCTTATCTTTGTTCTCTGGCTAGTGGGTCCCTCCACCCTGTGCCTATGGAGCATGTCCCATCTACAGGCCCACTGTACCCGAGGCCTGCATAGGCTCAAGGCTGAGGTGGTGAAGATAAAGAGTTCAGGAATGGGGAGACATACAAGTGGCCAGGGGCACCCCACAGCACCATAGGGAAACTTATGCTGGATCCACTGTCCTCTGGTATCTTTTCACCCTGATATTCTGTAACTCAAGGGACTGAAGAGGGACCGTCACATTACGTCTTAGAGCAACCACATCAGTTTCTCTATTCATATGCCCCAAATGGTAGTCAACCGACTGGTTATATAACATTGTAACAATGACTAAGATCCTGAATCAATTCCAAATCAACACATCTGTCTTCCTCTAGATAAGTGGTATTACCTCTGATGTTTTTCTCCTCCAATTTTATCAAGCATCTAAATGTCACCAGCATCACACAACATACAAAGACGGGTTATGCATTTCTCCTCCAGCCTCCCAACCTTAATAGGCCTCATTTGTTACACAGAAGATTCCAACAGAAATGGTAGAGGAACAGTTGGAGAGCATTTTTAAGAAGAGGCAATATTTCCCCCCACCACCACCACACACACCCCATAATGGCAATGGGGGAAGCACAACTCCCAAACTCTGGGGAGGATTGATGGTTGATCTTTCAAAATAAGTGACCTAAAGAGAGTTCATGAAACTTACATCAGTGATCATCTTCCCTCTGGTCTTATTTCTCTCTCTGTGGTTGGCCCGTTTCTGTTTCTGCTGCAAAACCCTCTCCCTGGTAGTGCGATACTCTAGTGCAAATTCACTAATGATCCTGCAGAACTTGTTTATGTTCACTTCCCGAATTGCATAAGGTGGATGGCCCATAAAGAGCAAAAAGGAGTGGAATCTGCAAGGAAAACAGAAATGGCAACTTTAGTTTTAAGAAACCCAAATTACTGATCCAAAATCTTTCCATAAGAAACCAATGAGCCAAGTTCTCAGTGAGAGGCCACCATCCTTCACTCCTGAGGCTCTGAGTTTCAAGAGTCTTCTCAAGTAAAAATGCAAACAAAGTCAAGTTCAATTCATTTTCTCATCCATGGAGGTTATGTCTAGGTGGTAAGACTTCAAGGAATTAATTACTTCTTGCATATCTAAATTTCAACAGTTTCTAATGGATATGTAAATTTTCCTAAGAAAACTGGTAAAGTATTAAGGAAAATAGTGCATAGTTTCTACATTATACAAGAATTGGATAAGAATAAAGAAATATTGCTTAGAAATTCCTGTATAAAAAGGCAAAGGGAGAAAAAAAAGCAATTCCTTTAATGAATACTTGGAGTAGACATGAACATGTTAATTTATAGTTTCTAATTGGTGTTTATAAAGTTTTTCCTGAGTAAATATTTTGAAATATCTTCTTACAATATTACATAGAACTGTAATTTAGCTAGGAAACACCAAATAAACAGAACAAAATTAATTTATTTCAGCTATTTAATTTATAAACTAAAAATTAATTTTGTTTAAAATTTGTAAAGTTTCAGTTATCAGGAAATGAGAACAAAGAAAAACAAATCTATGCGAAACAAATAGTACTACATAAATATCACTATTTGTAGACAAAACTTTTGCTTTTGATCACTGCAATTTGCCTCCCTTAAATGTTTTCCCCTAATGAGAGACATTAATTTATTCTTTCCTGTGACAAACACAACTTGTATTTAAAATCAAGGAGACTCAAAAAAAACACTAGCATAAAACTCAACAATAACAAAGTATAAATCTTTTTGACCTTGGATTAGACAATTTTTTCAAAAAGATTATAACAAAAGCATAAACAACTAATGGCAAAATAAACTGAAACTTATCAAAATTAAAAACTTTTTTGCTACAAAGGTTATCATTGAGAGTGAGGAGAACCTTCAGAACATGAGCAAATATTTGCAAATCATATGTGGGAAAAGGAAGTTGTGAGCAGAATAAACAAAGCTTACAACTCAATGCCAAAAAGATAAACAAAGGATTTGAATAGACATTTCTCCTAAAATGATATGCAAATAGCCAAGAAGCACATAAAAAGATGTTCATTATTAACCAATAGAGGAATGCAAATTAAAACCACAAGGAAGTACTACTTCACACCCTCCTAAGATGGCTGTAATCAAAAAGCAAGCAGAAGCACTGGAAGAGTGAGAAAACTGGAATTCTCTTACAGTACTGGTGGGGACATACAAAGACAGAGCTGCCATAGAAAACAGTCCAGCAGTTTCTCAGGTAAACATAGACCTACCATAGGACCTCTGTGCATATACCCATAAGAAATGAAAATGTGTACACATAAGACCTTCCACACCAATGTTCATAGCAACGCTATTCCTAATAGCTAGAAAGTGGGAAAAGACTATAGTGATGCTCATCAACAGATGAATGAGTAAACAAAATGGAAATCCACACGAGGCCCTGCCTGACTGGCCCCCTTACTTCTCTGGCTTCCTCTCTCATGACTCCAGCCATACTGGACCCCTGCTTATTCCTTGAACAAGCTCATCCCAGGGCCTCGGGCCCCTGTGCAGCATGTAGGACACCTGGAGGGACACACAGCTGAGGAGCTAACAGTCTGCAGGAAGGTTGAGGAGGCCACTCCACTGGGGAGGCCCATAGGCCTGACAAGCCATCTAGTACCAGCTGTTTGCTGTCTAGAGCAGAGAGCCACATGAATCACGCTCACAGCTGGGTGACTACTTCATCTCCTGGGAAATGCTAGAGGGAAAAGTGAAGCAAAGCAACTGGGCTCTCAGTCATCCATCTCTAGAAATTCCTACCTTAATCAGTTCTATATGCAGGGGCTCCTGATAAAGCCTTCATTTGAACCCAGGGTTCTGTGGTTTAGGTGTTTTGAACTTGTTACCACCTGGTACCCCTTTTAGCCACACTCCTTTTACTACCCACCATAATTCTAGTGAATTTCTGGCCCATCCTGGTCACTCCCAGTGGGATGGGCTGACAGCCAGAAGACAGGAATCTGAGTCAGGCGGGAGCAACCACCATCCAAGTGACCAGCTGAGATGGAACAATTAAAGCAAATATCTCATAAGGAATATACTCGTTATTAAAATGAGTGCTTATCTGGGATAAAATGGTTAATAAAACTAAGCATAATAACTTTATAAGACTTTTATAAAGTTGTTCCAGTTTCATGATATTCCAAATGGAAATAATTTATTATTTTTTTTTTTTCCTTTAAGCTGGCAATTGCTTGCAACATACAAAGCATGAAGGTCAAACCAGCTCTCATTCCCTATCTCCCCTTTTTAACCATGATAAAAGCATAGTGTATTTTAATTTTAGTAAGAAATTTGACAAAATCTTTCATAAGATCCCCCAATCCAGAGAGCAACTGGAAAGTCTGGATGAAGTACAGTTAAAGGGGTTTATAGTTGAACAAATAAATTCCAAAAGTACTGATTACTAGATGGCTTTCGACCTAGAGGGAAGTTTATTTCTTTCCTGTCCAACATTTTTAAAACTACCCCCCTCAACCGTCTGCCTCAAGACCCAGCAAATGATACAAGCTGGAGGAGGCTCATGTTCAGATGAGAGGCTCAGGGTATTCAAAGTCCTACGAGGGTTGAACGAAAATAAGGAAAGAAGGGGAAAAGGGAAGGATGGAGGCTGAGGGTCCCACAACCATTTCCTGTGATGAAGCAAAGGAGAAGCAAGTGGGGGCCTATGGCAGGAAATGCCCTGGCCTGGGAAGTTAAAGGACCTGCATTCTAGTCCTGGGCAGCTAGCTACTTGCTGGAAGAACAGGCCTGGACAGACATGGAGCCATGTTATGCCCAGCCAACCTCCCTGTGGGTAAAAGCCAGGCCTGACCCATCACTGCCATGTCTCCAGGGTTCTCTTGGATCCAGTGATTCAGAGGAAGACTAGTCCAGAGAGCACTTGTGGTGGACCCCAGCCCTCACTCAGGCACTTGGGACATTGGAGCAGCCACTGGAGAATCCACAACTGGAAGGTCCTCAGAGGGCAGACAGTACATCAGATAAAGGAGGAACTTTTCTAACAAGTAGAGCTGCCATGCAAGGGAACAGGTTCCCTGGAGGTAGAACTGTCAAGCAACTGCAGAGAGGCAGCATACAATTTGACAGGTTTTATAGAAGCGATTTCTGATCAAGTGAGATTTTTGGATGAAATTATCTGACATTCCTTCCACCTTCAACATTCAATATATTATTATGCATGAAAAATTAGGTATCCACAAAGCTGTCAGACATCTGTCATCCACAAAGCTGTCATACATACAACTAGGTATCCATGAAGCTGTTTATAATAGGTACACTTTGTTATGTACTGTGTACCAAGAATGTACAGTAACATTTTTATAAGTCTAACCTTCAGATCCTGGTTGGCAGAATATTTTTAACATGGTAGTGTAGTGATTTCTTTTTTTGTAAGTTCCTCAATACACCTACCTGTTAATTATCCTTCTGTGGACAATCTTTAAAATTATAATTCGCTCTGCACAGTCTTTTAGGAACTCTGACATTCGCTGTTTTAAAACTGGTTTCATTTCGTGTTTTGCAATTGCCTTGAGGTGATCCCATGAAGCTTTGCATCTTCTCTCCATCTGACATAAATTATCCTGAAGTTGATCAAAGTCAACCTGAAAATCAGAGCGAGAACACTGCAAATGCGCTGAACAACCGGACACCAACCCCAACCAGGAGACCACGGTGCCTCCGGGAAGAAACAAGACATCAAAACCCAATTTACATCTTGAAACACAAACATATTTATGACCTAAAAATTATTCACATGTGTATTTGTCATTATCTCAAAATCAAATTAGCGATAAAAACTGTTCTCCAAATGAACCCAACACAGGAGTTACCTTTTGCTTGCCTAATTTGGAAAGAAATGTTACAAAAGTCTTTGGGAACTGTAAGTTAAAACATGAGATCAAAGAACCTAGTACAAGATGAACTGAGTAGATGTCTCATAAAATTTCAGAGCACACTCGTTTTTTCAGGGATGATATTTCACTGAAGGCTGAGGAATGTACCCGGATCTCATGTGGATGGCTCTGCAGTTCTGGGGCCAGCTTGTGGGAAGCCAGCTTTTCTTTGCCATGATCTCCTTCATAGTTTGTGTGACAAATTATTTTACTCATCCACCATTCAGACATTCAACCAACATTCATGGAGCAACAGGTACACAGTGGCCCCCCTAACCAGGCACAAAGATGACGAAGACAAATGCTAAATGAAACCAAATCATTGTTCTCAAGGAGCCTCACAGTATAGACAGGTGATCACCAAGCGCTGAAGGGGTACAGCACCCACCAGAGATGTCAACAAATGCAAACCACCTACACAAAGAAGAGATGTGGCAGAGCTCCTGCTGTGTACTCAGGGAAGTGCCAACAGTTTGCATTGACTGAAGTGGCCCAAAATGAGACTTTCTAAAGTAATGCTTTTACAGAATCTCTAGAGCAAAAATTATGAGAATCAGAGGGTTATTTAGTAATTAAAAAAAAAAAACACTTGAGGGGCAGGAGTCGTGGCTCAGTGGTATAGCACTCGCCTAGAGCATGCGAGGTCCTGAGTTCGATCCTCAGCACCATGTAAAAATTAAGGTATTGTGTCCAACTACAACTAAAAAATAAATATTAAAAACAACACACTTGAGGGCTACATTTAATAGAGGGAGATGTGAGATGGAAAAATGAGAGACCGGACATGGTGGCATATGCCTGTAATGCCAGCAACCGGAGAGGCTGAGACAGGAAGATTGCAAGTTCGAGGCCAGCCACAGCAACTTAGTGAGGCCCTAAGCAACTTAGCAAGACTCTGTCTCAAAAAAAAAAAAAAGGGGGGGGGGGGGGGGGGGGGGGGGGGGGTGGGGCAGGGGGGGGGGGCCCCTGAGTACCCAAGGTTGGGGGGAGTAATTCAGAGGGATGGAGGGGATAAAGAAAGAAATGGGTGGGCTGAAAGAAGGGGAGTGAGGTGAACAGTGAGTGATAAATGTGGTCTAAAAATCCAGAAGGAGAAAATGACACACAGAGCAAGCAGCCTCTGCTCAGGTACCAATGACAGTGGTTATACAAGCAGGTCCTGGAGGATGCCCAGTAGGGACTCGCTCATGTGATCTCAGAGTAAAAGCCTCACCCTCAGAAGGACATGGGAGGGGCTAAAGACAACAAAGGCAGATTCTGTGAGAAAATCTTGTCTCAGCAGGAGGAAGTCGCCCCCCTCCCAGGCAGGACTTTGCATGGTCTGAATTTCTTGATTCTCTACATCCAAAAAGGCTCTGGGAATGAAGTCTAAGAAGAGGTGGTTGATGCCCTCTTGGCCTCCTATGGCAAATCACAAGCATCTGGATCAAGAGTCATTTAGTGGTTGCTGAAGTCAGGGGGTAGAAGCTATTTGAAGTATTGGCTTTGTGGCCAATCTTAAGGCTAGTTATGCAGCTATTAGTTAGCTGACAACTAAACATCCAATAGGCTTCTGGGAAAGGCCTGATACTGAAGGGGCCCAGGACAGTCACTGGGGTTGTTCTAGTATTGGGACTCCTAGGCCAGGGCCACTTTTGTTCCAAGCAAATTCTAGCTGGTGAAGCCCTGGGCAAAACCACAGGGCACGAAAAGAGGGAAACAATTTGCTCTGGTGTCTCTGGAACCGGGACCCAGATGGAGGGGATCTAGACAGGCAGATGCCTCAAATTCTTAACAAACCTGTCTTCTGAGAAGGTGCTCACAGGGTGTTGGAGCAGCCACTGGAGGACCCTCTGCGTAGACTCTTAGAGGGGTTTTCTTCCTTAGTCAGGAAATTGAGGTCATAATTGCAAAGATGGCAGAACAGTGCCTGTTAAATAAGGGACTCTGTTCTGTGAAGCCCTGTCAGCTCTCCATGCCTCTTTTTGCCTCAAGGTAGGTACACCATGAGGCCAGCTGAAGGGCCCCTGATTGGTGTGCCTGTGGCTACCAGCCTGTGACTCCTGAGAGGTGAAGGAGGGCCCCCAGCCACCAGGTCCCCACCAGTCAGTCCTGTGGGAGAATGCAGGGAGTGAGCAAGCTCCTGGAACAGGACCGTCGCAGCTCTCCTTCTGTTCCTCGCCCACTCAGTCCTCTGTTCTGTCCCCTCTTCCTACCCTGGGCTCTGGTGTGTCCCAGCACTTGTAGCTGCTGTGTTCCCAGGAGGTGCCTGCACACAGGCCTGGCTCCTGTGCCCTCTTCAAGGGTGCTCCCACATTCTCCTTATTCCCAATTCTGGTGTGTCTGAGATTCCTCTGGGCATTGTTCAGTCTCAGTGATACTCCTCCACTGGAGGCAGCTGGGGTCCACATATTGTGACTGTCTCTTTTCTAATAAACCATATGCTCATGAAGAGATTAACTCTGCACTCACTTTAAGAGCTTGCAGCCAAGGGGCCAATGCTATATACTGTTTACAGCCCTATAAAAACGTTCCCTGTAAGACTGTACGGACAGCCAATCTGTGGGCAGCAGAGCCAGGCCAGGCATGCCCTGCAGCTCCACACCTCACAGTGACATTGTATGGACATCTCAAGAGCCAGATGGCATTCTTTTGACCTGTTGGCCCACCTAAAACAGGCTGTGCAGTTGGAATGTTCTGGAGAATCCAGCCTGGTGAGTAACACTCCCAAGGAGTGAGGACTGGGATGGCAGACTAGCCTCACATACCTCAGTAGGAAAGAATCTGAGAACCAGAGATAGGAAAAAGATCTTAAAAGTTCATTAGAAAAAGGCATGAAATGAATCCTATCCACGGACTCTAGAGCAGGGAATGCAGGCGGCGCTGTGGGTCATATTTATTAGAGCATGTGTGTGTCTAAGAAGAGGGTTTGAGAATCCAACAAGCGGAGGCCAAGGTGAGGCCAGCTCCTCCGTGTTCACTGACGTACCTTGGCTGACCTGGTGATGGCCCCAATCTCTGAATACAGATCGGAACTGTCTGGGAAGTTTTCCACCACCATGGTGCACACGTGGTGGAGAAGCGACTGCTTGTGCACTGTGTCTTTCACTTCTGGAACCTTCTCGAGGTAGCTTAACTCAAACGCTTTGGCCTGTTTTGTGACATTAAAGATGAGAAAAACAAGTTTTATGTAGGCTCTTAGAATAGCACAGATGGTTAGAATCAATGCGCAGCTGCAGTAGCCAATATTTAGTTTCTGTGTGACTCAGGCTTCTCAGGCCATGCACTCCATCCTTTGCTGATCACACGTGGACCAGACACAGCAGAAATGACCTGGACCTCCAGCCCTTTGCTACCACAGCCCAGAGACAGGTCCCCAGGACTCAGCCCTCAATCAGGGTGCTATGGGACTCCGCCTCGGACACCTGCATAAGTATAACTTCTTTCTCCCCTCCGGCTGCATGCCTACTTCCTGGCCAGAGCCAAATGCAATCTACCAAATTATGCCATGTCCACATACCAATATGCCACAGTGACGTCTACACAATATGATCAGTTGAGTAGAGCAAGTGGATTGGAGAAGGGAGGCAGGAGGGGAGAAGGGAAAGAGAAGTTACTGGGAAATGAGTTTAATCAAATTATGTTAATGTTCATGTGTAAATATGGCATAATAACTCCCCAGCATTATGTGAATTATAATGCACCAATTAAAAAATAAAAAATGACAAGTTAATCATAAAAATCAGAATAGTTGAGAGCGAAGGTCAAGAGAAAAAAGAACAGGGTACATGAAAATTTTCCAAGTCAATTTTGAGAGTAGCCACACTCTGTAAGGAATAGTGCGCTTACTTTTTTAAGCTTTCTTGTGGCAGGGTTCAAGTTCAAGTAAATGGTCTCTAATATTTTGAAGACAAAAACCACTTCTAGATTTCACAAAAAAGTTACACAAGTTGAGCTGGGGATGTGGCTCAAGCGGTAATGCGCTTGCCTGGCATGCGTGGGGTGCTGGGCTTGATTCTCTGCACCACATAAAAAATAAAGATGTGTCCGCAAAAAACTAAAAAATAAATATTAAAAATTATCTCTCTCAAAAAAAAAGTTACACAAGTTGTTTATTCTACTGTGCTTTAGGGGACCAGAGGTACAACCTTCATCAACAAACGGTGGGCAGGGATTTTGTGACGAGAGGCAGGAGGATAAGGCACAGGGACAACTTACATTAGTTCCATTTAGAAAGTTCCCAATAGCGAGGAGAGTAGACAGGATAAAGCCCAAGGTTTTATTGTTCTCCAACTGGTCTATTCCTTCCTTCAGGTCCAAAAGTGGTTCTGCCACTTCCTTTCAGTTTTTTTAAAAAAACAAAACAGAAAGTGAAAAAGGATGGACAATTTGGCTACTTTTTTTCATTTGGTGTAAGGAACAATAAGCAGGGTTCTCTCTAGCACGGGGCAGTCTCCCCCGTGGGACATTTGCTCCTAGGTATGACAAAGTGCTGAACAGCAGCACGGAGAACCTATTCCCCATCAATTCCACAGTGGAGACCAAATGGAATTCATGCTGGGTCACACATGCCGTGTCTTCCCTGTCTCTACCCAAGTTTAAGCCCAAGCAGGACCCTTAGGTCATCCCATCCTCTCACTCTCCTCTGACCACGGCTGATTCCCAAGGAATCTTCCTTGTGAGGCTTCAGCATTGAAAGCATAGTCCTGCTCTTTGCCTTTTCTCCTTGTAAGCAGATGACTGTAGAAACTGTGGCCCCACTGTTCCTGGACCACCTATCTCCTCCATTCCCCTCTAGGCATACTTAGCCTTGGTTGCTCACTATTGGATTTCATAATTTTTTGGACTTTGAGTATCTGCATAAATACAATGATATATATTAGGGATAGGATCCCAAGTTTAAATATGAAATTCATTTATGTTTCATATATACCTCTCACATATAGCCTGAAGGTAATTTATAAACTGTTTTTAGTGCACCTGTGGTTGGACTGCAACCCATCACATGGGATCAGGTGTGGAATTTTCCATTTGCATCATTGCGTTGGCACTCAAAGGGCTTACGATTTTGGAGCATTTGGATTTCCGATTAGAAATGCTCAACCTGTAGCACCCTTCTGAAGTAGCCTAGACCCACTGCCATCCATCTGGCCCTCAGCATAAGACTATGCCACCTCCTCTTCCAGAAGAGAAAGACCCAGAGCCTCTACACCTGGGCTTCAGACTCCTTCTCTAGATGGTTTTTCCTCAGCTAAGCTCCCCTGTAATTGGCGTCCATCTCTCCCCCCCACCCCTCTCCACTGGCTGCCATTCAGCCTGCAAAAACACTCCTACTGACATAGGCCAAGGGAGATTCCTGTGCCTTCCATGCCCTACTTAGGAGGAGTCTCTCCCTTTGCTTCTCCCCGTTGAGGTCTCTTTCCTTCTAGTCTCTTCTCAACTTCTTGTAATCTGCTTAATCTGTAACCTTCCTTTGAGAATATTCCCCCCAGAGACCTGCTGTCATGGTTAATGGCAGTCTGGGTGATAATGATGAGGTGATAGATGACGGGAAATATACTATATTTTTCTGTATTTTCTAAGTTTTCTACAATGAAGATACAGAATCTAAAAAAAAAAATATTATTTTTAATCACTCACTACAAACTCATAAGCAAGTGTCTGAGGCTGGTGCCAGGCAGATACTTTAGAATAACCCTTCATGATCAGTCAGCATGGACACAAGTAACATCAGAGCTAGTGATAATACAACAATGTCATCATCAACTCACCCTGAAAATCCTGCGTCAAGAATGAGATTTTGCTACCTTAATATTCATGACTAAAAAAACATGGGCCATCCTATGTGGTTTTGGCTGCCTCTCTTAATGGAATGCTTACCTTTTCTGTGGTTTCATAATCCATTTTGAACGCCCAGAGGTGGAGCCGAGCAGAAAGCTCACTGATGGAGGACAGCGTGAGGAGGAACTGCTCGGCACTGCCCAAGGGCATTTCAGGATTGGCCAGCTGAGCTTCCTGGATTTTCTGCTTCTCCTCTTCAGTTGGAATCATGGTTAGAATTTTCTGGAAAAAATGGGATAGAAAATATTCTCAGTAATGGATCCTACCGCACCCCTTTGATGTTTTCAAATTCAATTTTATAATTTTCCAACCAGGTAGTAGAAAGAGTCTGGTATAGGTGTCTCAGTCACATATGGGTGTTATATTATCATAACCAAACATACTCTAAGCAAATTGCCCCAAATTTTCTGGATCTTGCACAAGGAGGACATTCTAGGAATAAAAAGGGGGATGAAAGTAAAAGAATTGAAAAAGAAAATTGGAGAACAACTCAGTCTTCCCTAGGAAATATAGCGAAACAGGTCAATAATACATGCTCTATCACTTTTCATGGATTAACTTAAGAACTGAAAAAATGAATCAAAGAACTCAGATTGACTTTTGGTTCATGTGACATTAAATATTTAACTGTTTAAAAACTTAGAAGTGATAATACTTCAATATCAAACTCAAATCTGAAGAAAAATGAAAATGGTATTTATAAACCTATCTACTAATAAAAAACAATGTACTTGTTTATTTTTATTTGTTTCTGAAAAAAAAAATCAGTTGAGAAAGGTGAAGGCAAAAAGACACCAGAATGATTATGATTCTTCTTAGTTCAAATTTCATATTGATTATATTTTTTTAAAAAATAAAAATTTCCATCTACTCTTACCATTACTATTTAATATTGTACACAGATAATCACAGTGTCTTAAAGGTAAAGTCATTTCTATTTGCAGATGACATGATTACATAGAAAATTGTAAGGATCTAAAAGTAAAACGTTATAGCATAATCTTTTAGAAAAAGGAAAAATGGAGAGTATTTGTGACCCATGTGAGGGAAAAATTCTTAGACATGATACCAAAATGAACAGACTGATGAACTGAACTTCATCCATCCAAATTAAAAATTTTTGCTGTCAAAGACACTATTAATAGAGTGGAAAAAACTGTAGTTTATCAAGAAGTTAAACACAGAGGTTACCTTATAACCCTGCAATTATATTCCTGGGTATTTGCTCTAGAACAAAGACTTAAGTTCACACAAAAACTTGTATGTGAACATTTGTGTTAACTTTATTCATAACTGACACAACCGGGCTCAAGTTAGATATTCTTCAGTAAATGAACAAATTATGGTACATCCCTACAATAGAATAGTACTGGACCATAAAAGGAATAAACTATAGCCAGGAACAAGCAGCACACTCCTAAAATCCCAACTACTCAGGAAGGGGAGGCACGAGGATCACAAGTTCAAGGGCAGCCTCAGCAGACTTAGCCAGACCCTGTCCTAGACAGACACACACATACATATATACATATATAGGGTTGGGGATGTAGTTCATTGGTCAGCACCCCTGGGTTCAATTTGGGGATGGAGGGGGCTATGTACATACAATGATGTGGATGACTCAAAGACATCATGCTCAGTGAGAGAAGCCAAACTCAAAGGTTATACACGATATGATTCCATTTACATGACATTTTCCAAAAGACAAAACCACAGTGATGTATTTGCACCGCTTGTTCCCAGGGGCTAGAGGTGGGAGTAAATATACAATCAGAGAAGAGCTGTATGGGGAGTTGGGATTGCTTTAAATCCTGCTTGCAGTGGTCACTGCATTAATTTACACATGATTTAAAACTCCTAGAACTGTCCATCCAAAAAAAAGGTCAATTTTATTCTATCTTAGCCCCCCAAAATGAAAAACTTAATAACAAAATAAAATGGAACCAGTCCCCAAATACATGGGTGTTTATATTATTGTGCCTCAGGATTTATCTGGGTACGATAGAAGCAGTTTGAGTTTGATGAGACTGTTAACACGCTGGGTGTCCCTATCAAAAGCTAGTGATGTAAAACTACTTCGAAGACGTGTACTCTGAGCCACAGAATGAGGCTACAGAAGGCGACAAGTGGTGGGCCCTCGGATATGTCCCTTCCAACTTGCTCTTCATTATGACTCCAAATACTGAGGCTATGTGGGTGGAATTTGAGCATCAGGAGAACTACTTAGTTACAGGGCTTCTTGCTCGCTCACTGCCTGGCTCATGGCCCACCGTCCACACAGATGGCATTAAAAAATAAACAATTCCAGTAGATATCGCCTCTTAATCCATGATTTCAACCAAATTAGTTTTCAAAATAAAAACTAAAGTTTGTATTTTAATTTCCTTAATGCTTAAATTGTTTTAGGCATGACAAGCATTCCAAAACAAAAAATTGCCAACACCTTTTATAACCTTCAGAAGGCCTTTTCCTGCAACAATTTGGTTGCTTTGTTCCTTTGAGAAAGTCAAACATTTTTACTTTTGTTTTTCACTCCTCTAATTCAAACCATTTGTTCACTGTTGAAGACTTATGAGGTTGCCATCTGTCATTTTGCTTTGCTTTATTTTGTTACACATCACTGACAATAGGAGTAGCCATAAGACAGTGGAATTGGCAAGTCAAAGCCACCTCCTGTGAGCCCAATGGCCCTTTTTCCATTAGCAAAGGTTAACAAGAAAAGGTTAACATTTTTACTTGCTTTTCTACCACATCAATGGGTTTATTGATGATTTTACAATTACCATTTGGTATTGCAGGTAAACAAACATCAAACAAAACCAAAACCTGAATGTGATAACAGTATTTTCAGCTATCTTCCTGACAATGTCCCTTTAATGCTTCTCGAGATATGACTTTCAAATACAAAAGCAAGTATATTTCAGAGAAAGCAGTGCAAAAATATCCATTTTTATGAACCCACATAGTACTGGGTTTGACCATTTAATTCTCCTGGAGTAAGACCATAATGAGTCATTATTTTGCTTTATGATTGTGAACAGAACCCTGGCTAGAATTTTGAGTAAGAATCTACAATGAGGATTTGGGTGATAACAGCAGAAAATTTAGGGCTGAGCTTGGTTTATATACAATTTTCATATTCTCATGAGAAAATGTTCTTTCCATGTACTTATTTTCATGTAGCAACTTAGGGGGGAAACCTTAAAGCATCTTGATAGTATCACCTTTCATTCTTTTTAAAATTGGTACATTATAATCATACATATCAGTGGAATTTGTTATAGCATATTCATACATGCACATAATTCAATCAATCTCATTCTCTAGTTCCTTCCCTTTCTCTCCCCTCCTCTTCCTCCCTCCCCTGGGTCTCCTTGCTCTCATTGGTCTCCCTGTTATTTTTAAAATTAGCATTTTAATTGTATACAGAAGCAGGATTCTTCGTGGTGACTATGTTTTGAGGCACATTGGGCAGAAATTATTTCATCAAACTTACAGTTGAAATGACTCGCCTGAGACCAGGCTGGACCAACCAAGACAGAGCTAAAAAGCCACCTAAGGGCTGTGTGTCCTTTCATAGCACCAGCTCCATAGTTAATGGAGATTGGAAGTGCAAAATTAACAGCACAGCTGTGTCCAATGATCAGAGCATCCTGGTTCCCTGGTCCTACTAAGCCAACAATAACTCTCCACGGGCAGGCTCAATTGAGTATGTCCATCACCCAGTTGGCCACCTGGAGACAGGCCTCCTATAACACCAACTATTTAGAGAGATGCTGTAGCTTTGCCTAAATGGCTGAAGGAAATGTCTGTTACCAGGATATTGTCAGGCCTCACAACCAAACTGAGCCAAGTCAAACTTCATTTGGGACCATTCAAATGTGCTGCCCTCTAAGTAGACCAACTCTAAAAATTAAAAAAGGGAAAAAAAAAGGAGGACTCCTCATACTTCCATTTGTGATAATTTGATGACATCTTACTTTGGAAAATATCATTATGCTACTTAGAGATGGCCCTAAAATAATTTTCTCAAATTTAATATTCTTCATAAATACTACTTCCTTAATGAAGTTAACTGCTCCCTTAGGTTTGCATCATAAACCCAGATACATACCACTGGTTGGTAAGCAAAGCCACAGGATATCATTTAATACATCCTAATTACATTTAGGTATACAGAACTTTCAAATGGCCCTATTAAGCCATGGTGCCAGGCCACGGTACATGTGTTCAAGAAGCAGACGGTTTGGCGAAAGGCTCTTTGGGCATTAGCTGGAAATCTTATTAGCAAAGATCTGTAAGTTCACAGCTTCCATCTCAGTTTCAATTTAATTCTTGAACAACAAACCTACTAAATCAGTTCTGGGTACTGCCCAGCACATGGATCTAAATCTTTCTTATATGCCTTCCTGGTCCCTTGAGATCAATGGCCAGAGATAGAAGATGATGTCAGAGTGCCTGGAGTCTACACTTTCAAGAGTACTTTTTTCCATTGGAGTCTTCCCAGCCATGCTGGGAATTGCTGAGGGATATACACAGTCCCTGGATTCACACAGGAAGTCTTTAGATCAGTGATTCTCAGCCTGGGTGATTCTACTCCCAGGAAACGTAAAACAATGTCTGGAGTCATTTGGGGCTATGGGTCAAGGTTCAGGTAGGCAGATGCTACTGGAATGTAGCAGGTAGAGACCAGAGATGCTGCTAAACATCCTTCAAGGCTCAGGACAGCCCCACAACAAAGACTGTCCAACTCCAAATGGCAATAGTGTTGAGTGTGCGGAAACTTGCTTTAGAGGAAAACTGATCAAAATGTTGTAACTCCAAGTGCTACTGTGACTCAATGAGTTTACTGAGGACTTATGACACAATAAAACCTCAGTGAGGATTTACTGGTATTTTCTGCAGCCGTTTTCTCTCACTTCAAACTATCTGCCCACCAGCTATTCCTGGGTGAAAGGCCATTGGCAGTGCTGTGAGGGGCTCTGGGCTGGCTCCTGTGTGCTTCTCACGCCTTTTCAGATTCCCTCCCATTCTAGGGTCACATAGCCCAGGCCTGAGAGGGACTCCTGGGCCATATGCTTCCAAGCCCTGCACCCTGAACTCAGGCTTCAGGGCTCATATTCTGCACAATCTCCTGTTTCTGTGAGTTTGGCACAGACTGATGCTGGGACTCACTTGGTTCATTTTTAAGGTGAAGCACAGCAGTGTGTACCTATAGGTGCTATAAAACACCTATAGGGTGCCCAGTCCACAGTAAGAAACCCATGAAAGCCAGACTAGTGCTGTGTTTATTCCTATAGCCATCAGCATCGTTATTACTCTTACATTCCTTAATGGATCAAAAGGGTGCTCAACTTACAATCGCTCAGACAGGGAAAAAGAGTAATTGGTTCATTCTAAAATCTGAGTAATTTATTATCTGAAACTTTCCCAGCCCAGGGAGAGCTGTATTTCAGGAAAAAAACAAAGGCAAAACTCAAATTCTGATGGAATTTCAAGTTTTCCTGATGAGGAGGGGAAGGATCTTTAAAAGGAGAAATTGTCATTTTTTTTTTCCTTTCATTGGGCTGGCTCTGGCTGTATGTGAAACCTCTCCATGTATGAACTGAAGCATTTGCAAGCTCTGAAGGACCTTGTAAAGTAAACAGGACGATCTGAGAGAGCCTATAACTTGCTTCTCAAAACCACTTCACACTTGGTTCATCCAAGTTCACAGAATGGTAGGCCACAGCCTTCTTCCTTACCAGTCTGGAGGACCCCAGAGTGAGGATGCCTCACACAGAGGCTGAGCCTGACCATTCTTGCTTGCTGCCTGAACATCTCTGTCTCTGCCTGCTGTATCTAACTCATTCCTTTATCCCCCTACCCTGCTCTGCCTTGTGCCCACCTGGATATTCTGCCTGACTTCAGGGATTAGGGCACAACTTCCTGTCCAGCGAGGAAGGAAATGCATTTTCCCTCTTGTACCTGTTCCAGCTGCTTGAGCCTCATATGCATTCCTAGGGCTTCCATAACAGTGTACCACAAACTAGGTGGCTTGACACAACTAAATTTATTCTCACAGTGCTAGAAGCTAGACGTCCAAAAATCAAGGACTAAGCAGTACTATGCTCTCTCTGAAGCAGAGCTGCTCCTGGCCTCTTTTGCAGTTCTGTTGTTTGCCTGGTATTCCTTGGCTTATGAACACACTGCTCTAATTTCTACCCCCATCATCACATGTGCATTCTCTCTTCAGATGGCATTCTTCTTTGTGTCTATGTCCCAACAACATCCCTTTTCTTGTAAGGACACCAGTCATCTGATTTAGGGCACATCCTAATCCAGTCTGATCTCACCTTAACTTGATTATATCCCTGAGACCCATTTCCAAGGAAGGCCAGTTGTGTCCTCCAAAACTCATGCTCTCTTCTGGGAGAGCATGAATTCTGGAGGACACAAGTGGACCCCACATAGGCCTCTTAGCAAATTTTCTTCTGAAAGCCTCTACTTTTCAAAGCACAAAGGCACACAGGGCCCACAGGGTCCAGACTGTGTGCCCATCGCTGCCTCTCAACCCAGGGCTGTGGGCAAGTTTGGCACTGTGACCCAACCCTTCCTCACATTTTTGGCAAAAACTGACTCCCCCTCTTTGGGGTCAGATTTCACTGGTTCCCTCCATGCTCAAATGAGACTGTGCATGAATGAACCCAATCATGGAGAGGCTTTAAAGGAGTCCAGAGCTCCTGGTCAATGGGAGGATGGGTTGGGTGTCACTCAATGTCACAAAGTAATGTTCCTAGAACCTCCCACTTTTGATGAAGTGGCTCCTAAGACTACAACACCCCTATAGGGGACTCTGGGATGGCCATTAGCTCCACCAGTCATTTCATTATTAGAGTAAGAGATTTCACTTGCTACAAACTGGCACTATGGTGAAGATGATGGCCTGGTGGAAGAACATGAACATTGGCACAGCAGGTGAACCATGGCTTCAGCTGGGCCACCTACCAGCCACAGACATGTCACCTAATCTCTCTCCATTTTTGACATTCAGATCAACAAGGGCTACAGCCTCAACTGGTTTAGTTCTTCCAGTTATTTAACAAGACATCTCTCTGTATATCCCAACAATCGCGAAGACAGAAACGAAGTCCTTTACACAGATGTGATCACATATTGAAAACCTTATCTTTGAAATTGTTTGCTAAACATATTTGATGTAAAATGACATGAAAGAAGAACCTAGCAGCCTCCTAAGGAGGTTCTGACAGTCTATTTCCATTTTGAGATAGGCAGAGCGTGTGTGATCAGAGGGAGGTCAGTACAAGAACTGCAGAAGGAGGGTCTTTGAACTTCATAGGCAAATGAGGCTTGCCTCTCTGTGGAGTAAATATGAAAAAAATTATTATTCAGAATCTTCTTGAGGACAGAAAAAACGGCAAGCCAGCCTATGAGGAAAGTCACTTTGGATGAAATAATAAGTACATTTTATGCATGTGATAAATTTCAGAACAGAAACAATGTTTGACAGCTTCTCTTACCTCAATTCCTTCTTTGTTTAAGGCATATTCATCAAAATTCAAAATGGCTATCTTAATCGTTCTTGGAGGGGGCAGGACCGTAAGACCAATATTGATGGCATTGCTCCTCTTGGAATCTAGAACGATGATCTCCTGCCTTTTTCCATCTGCAGCAGTTTTCTTGGTGATAAAACAAGGAAAATCCAAGATTAATGCATCACCATGGGTCCTTTCTGTGTTTCAGTATTAAAAGAAAACTCACCACTTACTCAGAAATGAAAACAAATGGCCCCAATTGCAGCTCAGGCGAGGACTGGCTACTGCTCAGTCCAGAAGAGAGAGATCAAGGACTGGGCTCTGAGACACCGCCAAACTTGGGTCAGCAATGGAACTTTGTGAGTCAGACACATTACAAAATAAAACAGATTTTCCTTCAATTGGGAGAAAATGTGATATTTTGTAAGGAAAAAAAAACTTTTTTTTCAACTGTGAGACAGCTATAACCTGTGATTTTGTTTTTGTGTTTTTTTTTTCACAGAAGCAGTGAAAACAATAGTAAAATCTTTCAGAGTCCCTTTCCTGTGGGCTGTAAGGTGTCAACTTGTGTCTTGGTTGGCGTGTGCATGGAGAAGTGAGTGCACAGGTTGAGAGGACAGGAACCGCCCCTCCCCCCCCAGATCTCTGGCTGCATTGCCTCAAGGTCCGCCTGCCCATTTCAAATGTCCCGTGTCCTTTCTATCAGGTCACCTGTGCCTTTCTTGCCACACTTAGTCATTTGTGCAGCTGCCCACTGGGTGGATGAAGAGGGCCCACTACAGGAGAGAGATGGCAAGCCACGTGCTGATGAAGAAGAAAGAGGTACAGGCAGGCTCAGGCTGGGGAAGAGAACAGGGAACTAGAAGTATCCTGACATCCTCATAGAACCCTGTGCATGGTGTCCCCGCTGGCCTGGGTCCCCCTTGGAGGCAGGCCCTAGGCCCCTCTCATCCCTGTAGGCAGCCCAGGGCTAGCATACAGACTGAATATCTGCATGCTCCCTCACCCAAAATTTATCTTGAAGCCCTAACTCCCCATGTGAGGGTACTTGGGGGTGGGGCCTTTGGAAGTAATTAGGTTTAGGTGAAGTCACAAGGGTGGGTCCACCTGATAGGATTAGTATTCTTATAAGAAAACAAACAAAAACAGGTAGCTCTCTCCTTATACCAAATGGCAAGAAGGTAGCCATCTGAAAGCCAGGAAGAGAACCTTCAGCAGGAACCAACTTGGCCAGCACCTTGATTTTGGACTTGCCAGCATCCAGAACTATAAGCAATAAATGCTTGTTTTGTCTGTGGCATTTTATTATGGTAGCCCTAGCAAATGAAGGTGTGCGAGGCACTGAGCCAACATGTTTCATGACCCAGAGTTGTGACCACAAACCACAACACTCCCTCCACCCCCAAAACTTTCCCCTTCAATTCTAAGGAACTGTAGGTGACAAGGGAGTTGTTAAGTGAAAGGAGACCTGGCCCAGCACATCTGCTCTTGCCCATGTTTCCTTTGAGGCGCACACAGCTGGGAGGATGAGCATTCTGATGCATGCCCTGAGTAACGGGAAATGAGTAAGCAGGTTCCCCTGAAGGAAGACACACAGCACAGAGACAAAATGTGTTCACTGCAAGGGGGCTCCACTGTGAGGCAGCTACAACTCACTGGGTGGAGTGAGTCACTGGAGCTCCGCCCTAAAGAACACCTGGGATCTATCCTGGGTCCAAAGGATAAGGTAAGGAGATGGGCAGTATCTTTGCCTAGGTTGTTGGGACCTGCCAGGAATGAGGCTGGAGGTTGATGGGGCCATATCCCTAAAGACCTCAGGGGCCTGCCAAGGGACTCTGACTACACTCTACAGCCAGCCCTCGCTGGATGGCTCACGGTGCTTCCTAACCACTCTCACTCTCACCCTTTCCTTTGAAGCAGAAAATGAGGCCTGGGAGCAGCTGAGCCATCTGGCAAGCTGGCCTGAGGCAACACTAGACATGGAAGTCACCAAGGAGAACCAGATTGAAGCCCCCTAAAGTTCTCCTGGGCCCTCCAAACTTAATTGCTCACATTCTATTTTAGATCCTTAAATATGCATTTGGGAATAAACTCAAATTTCTTCATGAAGAAAACAACTGAAGACATCCCAGCTGTTTGGAGGCCTGGTGGCCAGGAGGGGCAATTCCTGCGGGTGTGGTCACTGGCTTTGAACAGGGGCTCCCAGAGACATGTGGCATAGATGCTTCCCCTTCTGCAAGGCAGGCTTTGTCTTTTATATATTTAGCCAAATAAACCAAAAATTCTGAATTTAGTCTTGAAATCTAATTTAAAATAATATGTTTTATGTGGAATACTAAGAAGGAATGAGAAAGGTTTTGCAAAATGCAGAATATGGGCAGTGAGGAGGAGATGTTATAACCTGTGATAAAGCACTGGGGTGCCTCCTCTCCAGGCTCTGCAGAGCACCTACTCAGCATCTGTTCTCTCCTGCCTGATCACCACCAGGACTCTCATTTCTTCTTTAGCTGGCAATACGTCCATTTAAAAAAACAAAAACAAAAAACAAAAACAAAAAAAAAAAAACCCTCTTTGTACCTGAATCTGGCCCTGTGACTTAGTTCTGGTTTTTTGATTTCCTAATTAAAAATGGACAGATCTAACAAGCTAGGCCTTTATCCTTTCTCTTCTTTGTCCCTAGAACGTCTTATGAGCATAAGGAACAAAGTAATGGTCATGCAGCAAGGATAATCTGGGAACTGTCAGTCCTCAGCCTCTCATCCATATTGTCCTTGTCACTCAAGGATCCTGGAGTGATAACTGTGCAAGCCCAGCTAGGCCAGCTGGAGCCTCTGTACAAATGAGAAAAGGATGCTTCCCTCTGGGGAGACACAGCCCCACCATGAACAGCTGCCCACAAACAGTTTGGAAAAGCACCACCACTCAGGTTTCAGCTTCTTCCCTGGTAGCCGATGTCCATTTATGTCAAACACAAAACCTCCATAGTGGCTCTGAAGCTGACATGATCTTGTTCCAATCTCAGTAGGACTCAGTTTACAGAGATGGACATGTCCACACACTCCACTATTAACTACTGAACAAGCTGAGACAACAGGGAGAGCTGTCCCCACAGAGCACATCTACCAGGCATGAAGGAAAGGTAAGAAGGAACACCTGGAATTGAATTATTCAATTTCTGGATTTTAGCAAGAGGTGTTTTAAATGCCACTCTTGATAATTAAAGTAAAGCTCTACTTGGTGTTGCTGAACACCAAGTGTGTCTTCTGTGCGTCTTCTGGTCAATTCTGCCCAAGATGAGGGAGCGGGTCAGATGGGACTGTCTCCTCATCTCCTTCCCTCCCATAAGAACCAGAGTCACATCTGCAAGAGCAAGCCAAAGCTCTCTAAGCTTTGGAGCCCATGACCATGTCCAAGGATGATCAGTTATCAGTTCTGATTCATTTTGATTGTCCTTTTGGATCAAGCCCCAGATCTACAATCATGAGCTTCACTATATCCTCCACATGGTCCCACAACAGTGGAAGTACTGCCCACCCTTTTTCCATAAAACCTGCCATGCCTATTCCTCCTCCTCCATACCTGCCACCTCCACCTGAGCCTGACTCCCAGCACTCAGTTTCACACCAGTCCATCATGCCCACTTCCAGACTCTTCTCTCCCCAACCCTCCATTCTACATTTACCAAGTCTTTCTCAGATACCCTTTTCCTTATTGTATATTTCTTTGGTCAGAAAGTGGTGATTGTCCATAGTTTACATACAATTGGAAAATTAGGAAATTGGTCAAAGAAAGAAAGGGGATATAAAGCAGGAGTCAGAGAAGGCAGAGTGGTCCTACTGAAGACACACAAATACCCCTCTCTCTGAAGGCATCTAGGAGGTGGTGGTGAAATGTGATGAGGAAGAGGTAACGGGTTGGAACGAAGTGGCAAGGTTTCTAGGCAGAAAAGTCATTTTACGTTTGATAGATGATACACATCCCAAAACAAGACCCAAACAAGGAAACGAAACTCCAAACTTTTTGAAATATCATTACAGGGCAAAGGCTACAGCAAGAAAGTGATGAAATTTTCTTGAAAGTAATAAAAGACGAATAGGATAAATGAGAAACATCATGTTCCTAGATAGGAAAGTCAATTTTGTAAGTATAATTAGGTCTCTCTGATCTAATATATTTAAAATAATCCTATTAAAATTCCAGAAGATTTGTTTTTGGAATTACAAAAATTGTAAGTTTAATATTTTAAAAAGTCAAAAATATTCTTAAAAAGGAGAGTTACATGTAATATCTACTCCGCCATCAAAGCTTACTGCAAAACTGACAAAATGTGTAGCACAGACCCTTGAATAGCTGGAATGATAGAAGAGAACAGAATGACAGGGTAGAAGAACTCATATAATGGCCCAGGGGATTTCAACAAAGACACTAAGATTAGCGACCCAGAATCTACCATGAGAGGGATTCCTAATATGGGACCAAAAAAGTCTAACAGAATAATATAGCGAGTGAACACTAACAGAGTAGACCCACTGACACCTTCCTCTTCGGGTAGGCAAAAGGCCAGGGGAAAGCAGGAACACAGGCTGGTGTGGGAATAGCCAAGGGCCGGAATGGCTGGGGTGTACCATTCCTCAGAGCACCCTCTTGATGCCTGGGGTACCTCTCCATCCCTACCAACTGCAACCTGAAGACATTTCAGACAATTCTTTCATGAAAAGTCAACCACCAAACCTCTGCCGCCATCTTTAAGTTCCAAGAACAGGGAGAAAAGGTCGTTGGAAGGAGGCATCAGTGGGGATGGGTGGATACTCAAACAGGAACAATTATCTCCAGGGTGGATCAGCAAAAGGGTCCATGGAAGCAGTGTGGGGAACACCACTGAGGGGCTATCTCTGAACATGTTACTTTCCCAAATATGTCCAGAAGAACTCAAGAGAGAAGAACTCCTTACTGCTTTAAGGAGGGAAGAGGTATGCTGGGAAAAAGTCCGGCTCTGTTTTAGTGCCAGAAAACCCAGTTAAGCAGCGCTCCTCCCACAAAGCTGCAACCCACCAGGGAGCCTCCAGCACGCCCCAGTAGCCCCTTCTATTCCAGAGCAGAACATTCTTGGGAGAAATGCTTGGGGCTTGGAGGCCATGTAGGGA